ATCTTTATATTACGTATTATAAACTAAACTATATTACCTTTTAGGAACTTTTTAGCTAGGTATTAGGACTAGTTTATTACTTCCTATTATTATTACTATTAGAATATAATAGTAGCTTGCGCTAGCTCTACACCCCTCTATAGGTGTAATAAGAACGCTATAGCCTCCCTATAAGGATTCTTAGGCTTTACTAGTAGTAATATTAACTTTTATAGCGTGTCTATAGTATACCTATTTAAAAGTAGATTTAGGCTAATACTAGTTATGCTAGAGTCCCTGTTGTTAAGTGTAAGTTAGCAGGCTAGCAGGTAGTTAGGCTAGTTAGTCTGCTTAAAGCATACTATTATGCGCAGCACTACCTGCACTTCTTAGTTTGCCTACTCTATCCCGCTATCTATCTAAGGGTAATATATAGTAGATAGTAACTAGTTTATCTTTATTATCTAGTATAATATTATCTAGAAGGATCCTAACTAGTCTAAACCTTAGTTAGTAATAATAGAGGATAGGAAGCCCTAGAACTGCTACTAGTTATCCTAGAAGATCCTTGCACAATAATTAGCTACTATAGAGACTATTGCTTTAAGCTAAACATATTTAGATAATCTATTAGTAATAACTAATAGGGACTAGGGTTTGCTATTATCTTTTGCAGGTAGGTTAACTATAAAATCTATAGATATTTAGGACTAGTATTATAACGCAACTAGTATAGGTTATAACAGACCCTGTTAGCGCTTCTAGGAGATATAAGTACTATAATAATAGCAGTTTTAAACATACTACGCAACGTGTTCTAATATTCTATCCTAATAATAGTTGCAGCGCAGTATTTAAAATATTATATTCTTTCCTAGATATCCTACTAAACCTAATTTATATGCTTGCTATATAATAGTAGTTATAAGGGGTTCCTATATTAGTAACTAAATAACACCCCTCTAGAGCAAAGTACTATGTGCGCTAATTGCACAGTCCCTAATCTATTGCTTTATATTAGCTAAAACTAGGAAAGACCTAGCGCCTTTCTAAACTATATTAAGATATACTTAGTATATCTTATCTTCTAGTACCGCTTTGTCCTATAGTGTCTATATATGCAGGTTAGTAAAGAGGCTAGCGCCCTTTAGTAACTTAGACGCCTCCTCTGCTTCTAACACTGTAACCTAAATTAATTTAGGGCGCATTACTAACTATAGTGTTGCTTTAGAGGAGTTTAAATCTTGTAGTTATCTACTTAAGGTATTAGGTTATCCTATAAGATAGCTAGGCCTATACTGTAGGATATACTAATATTTTAAAAGTTCCTCTACCTAGCAGCACTATTACTTGCTTAAGCTTTAAAGGCTAGTAAAGTACTCTAAGTTTTTATAGTCTGTAAATATTATAAATAGCTTATAAATACTCTATAACTCTGCTAACTAACTTTTAAGATACTCTATAATAGTAAGCAATTCCTTGTTATATATAGTGTAGTTTTGTCTCTCTAGCGTTAGTGCTATAGAGTAGTAAGTAACTAGGCGCTAGACGCCCCTAACTTTTTGCGACAAGCAACCCCTAAGAGTATATCCTAAATAGTCTGCTTCTAATAATGTTTCTCTAGCTAGGTCCTATTATATTAATACTAGTCCTAATATAAACACCTTTTTTAGCGCATTAAATATACTTTATTCCTCCTCTCCCTATTAGAATAGGGTGTTCTTCCTAGTTAGTTAGTTTAAAGGTGCTACTACTTTAGAAAACTTCGCGATAAAATTATAGTAGAAGTTAGTAAAACCTAGAAAACTCCTTACCTCTCTTATATTCCTAGGGGATTCCTATTCCTATACTACCCTAAGCTTTTTAGGGTTAGGTCTAAGTAATTTGCCTACCTTAATAATATAGCCTAGGTAGCGTACCTCCTTAATACTAAAAGTATATTTCTCTAAGTCTAGGTGTAGTCCTACTTCTTTTAATAGTATAAGTACACGCTTTACTTTTTCTATATAGTTAAACTAGTCTCCTCCTAAATAAATTAAGATATTGTTAAGGTAGGCTATTATATACAATCCTAGTAACTCTGTAAGCGTAGCATTAATATATTGTTAGAAAGTAGATAGCGCACTACTAAGACTAAATAGATATACTAACTATTTATACAACCTAAACTAGGTGTAGAAAGTAGTTAAGGACTTATAACCTTCTACTATTCTAACTTTATAAAAGGTAGCGTAAATATCTACTTTTATAAACTAATTTACGCTAGATAGTGTGCGCAAAGTTTCCTTAATAAGTAGTAGTAGGTATTAGTCTAAGGTTATTATACTATTAAGCATCTAGTAGTCTATATATAGACGCTAACTGCCTAATAGCTTCTTTACTAGTAATACTAGAGCTCTAGCTATAGAAGAGCTTGCTTAGATCTAGCCCTTATCTATTAATCTAGTAAGTTGTGTTCTTAGTTCTAGTAATTAATTACGCGATATAGGGTATAGGGGACCCTATAGGGGGTTAGGCTAGGTTCTGTCTAGGAGAGTTATTAACTAAATATAGTAATCTATACTACCTTAATAAGGTAGTAGACTACTTGCTAACTCTTTGTTAAACAGGTCCTTAAACTCTTGTAGTTCTAGTAGCAACTTTATCTTTCTAGTTTTATACTTAGGTTTGTAGGGAACTGTATTACTAGAAATATAGGAGGTGTGTATATTAATAGGACTTCCCTTATTAATACTTCCTAGATATTTTATTAGGTATAAGTTATATATTGCCTATAATATATCTAGTATATTTATTATAAAAATTTGTACCTATATATCTTCTTATTAGGGTTCTTAATTTAGTAACCCTACTATAACTAAACCTAAGATAATAGAGATATAGGTAGGATGCAGACATCTCCTGCTTTCTTGTACTACTATATTTCCTGCCTTCCTAATTATTAATTTACCTTATAGAATATCTATAACAACGCCCTCTCTACAAAGCTATAGTCTACCTAGTATTAGTTAATAGGAAAGGCTAGGTACTATATAAGCTAAAAGCTAAGACCACTAACTATCTAAATTATAGTCTAATGCTACTAACTATAAAATTCTTATACCCTTAGTAATTCCCTAGGTATATTACAAGGGTCGCGGGGGAATGTTAATAAAGTTCCTACTAATCTATCTTGCTAACTTTTCCTTAACTACACTAAAATACTAGCACCCTAAATTAACTATTACTTGCACGTTCTCTACTCTACCTAGGAGGAGGGGAATAAAGAAGGGAGGATTATTTAACCTAGCCTTAATATCTAGGGGACACTTAATAGCCTCTACTATTAATAATTCTTCTATTATAGTGTCCTCCTTATACCCCTAACTTAGCCTAAGGTTAGGGGCAGCTAGTTTCCTAAATTAGTGCCGCTTGCTAATACTGCAACTATCTTAACACCTACTAGTTATAGTAATAGGGTATTAGGGCATACACGTATAAAATAACCGCCCTATCTATACTAGGTGCAGACTCTCGCTAGTTTCTATATATTAAATAGGTCCTATAGGATCTAGTTAGGACGTAATATTAGTAGTTTAGTAGGTACACTTAATAAGGCTACCACTTCTACTATATTTATATTGCTGTCCTAATCTAAGTTAGACTTCTACTAGGGTTCCTTAGACTTACTAGCCTAAAGGAAGCCTAGTTCTAAAGAGGCTATTTTAATATCTACTATAATTATCTTATATTCCTCTATAGCTATGTTATAGTTTATCCTAGAGACTCCCCTATTAAGGGAAACTAAGCGTATATAACTATTAAGAGATTACTAAAGTTATAAAAGCTTCTATTTATTATCCTAGTGTAAACCTCCTAACTATATAAGGAGCTATACAAAATTTATAAAGAACTCTATAAAAGGCTAATTTTAGCCCTAATATAAGTGTTCTAATATAACTTAGGCGCGCTCCTACCTATAATAGTTGCTATAATAGAATACTAGGTAGTTAAGAAACCTACTTATATCCTAACACTTACGTGCACTATCCTTAAAGTATAGTACTATAGCACGCTAGACTATAGGTAATAACTAGGACTAAATATATATAAACCTTGCCTCCTTATCCCTAATAAAGACCTTATCTGCACGTAGTTTAAACTCTATAGTTATTTACTAGGAGGAGAAGTTTGCCTTAGTGCTATTATATAGCAAACTAACTAGGAAAGGTTTATAGCGTAAGGTAGGAGAGGGTAGAGGTAGTATATTATTAAACCTAGCAGGCTTAGAGGAGGGTTAGGATAGAATCTAATTGCGTATTTCCTTATTCTATTAACGTAGTATAGCTATTATAGTAGAGTCTTAAGCCTATTATTCTATTAATCTATAGACCTATTATATTAGCCTTTCTACTATATTAGGTTGCACCTAGTTATTCTAAATATCTAGCGCGTCTATCTCTTATTACTATTATAGTATATTTAGAAGAAGATACTAAAATATTATAGACTAGCCTTAAGGGAAGAATATAATAAGTGTTAATAATAGTATTTAGTATCTTAAAGGAGAGATAAGCCCTCCACGCCTTTTTATAGGTGTCTAGTGTGTTTGCTTAGTAGTAGTGTTAGACTTGGTCTGTCTTGTGTTAGACCTAGGCTTAGGCATAAGCCCAAGTCCTTCACAACTAGTAGTAAGCTAGCTAGAATATATTAGTAACGCGTTTAAAATATGTTTAGGGAATACTTATATTAGAGGAGAGGGTCTTAGAAACTATAGTAGTAGATAATAAGGTTAAGGATGTAAAAACGCGTTAGAAACGCGTTCCTAACGTGTTCTCGCTTAGCCTTGCTTAGTAGGGCCAAGATCTGGCTTGGCCCTCCCAACCTGCGTTAGTCTATGGACGGATCCATTTTTCCTATGGCTAGTTGACCTGCTTCCTCCCGCCTCACCTCAAAAATTAATCGTTGTCAGGACAATTACCCGCCTTGCACCTAACAATCAATTTGTACAAGAACACCACGATCAAATCACATATAACAAAATGTCGCTAGAAAAGATCACGACCATCTCCCCAATCACCAACAAGCCTGTTCTTACACGTAACGGTCTCTCAGATGCTGATCTGCAATCTCTACCTGAGACAGCCGCCAGCGCATTCGAATCATTCCGCCGTACATCACTTGCTGAAAGGCAGAACATCATAAAGAAAGCTCTGAAATTGCTCAACGAGCGTCAAGATGTCCTTGGCAAGGAGATCACCGAACAGATGGGTCGCCCTATTGCGTATACGCCTAAAGAGATTACCACCGCAGTCATGCGTGGCGAGTATCTGTTGAAGATCAGTGATGAATTTCTGCAAGACACTCCAGGTGAAGCTGAGAAGGGCTTCAAGCGATACATTAGGAAAGTTCCTCTTGGTCCAGTATTAATCCTGTTCCCTTGGAATGTGCGTATACCAACATGCTATATTGCTCGCTCGCACGCTGATGCACCATGTAGTACCCATACCTGACCCTCATCAACTCACTAGTACCTGCACTGATTGCAGGGAACTCGGTCATTTTGAAGCCATCCCCACAGACGCCAACAAGTGCCGAGCAGATCCAACAGATCTTCAAGCAAGCTGGGCTACCTGATGGTGTACTCCAAATCTTCCACAGTGGATCTATGACACAGATTGAAACCATAGCACGTTCACCTAAGATTCAGTTAGTGTGCTTCACTGGTTCCGTAGCCAACGGCCTTGCAGTGCAAAGCGCAGCAAATAATCGTGTATCTTTGCGTGTGGGCCTTGAGCTTGGAGGCAAAGATCCTGCATATGTTCGTTCCGATGTTGACGTCAAGTGGGCTGCAGAAGAACTCGTGGATGGAGCTGTCTTCAACTCTGGTCAGAGTTGCTGCAGCGTTGAGAGAATATACGTGGATGAGAAAATCCATGATGAGTTCGTATCCGCCCTCCAGGATGTACTGAAGGGTTACAAACTTGGTGATCCTTTCGACAAGAGCACTCATGTTGGTCCCGTGGTCTCCAAACGATCAGCAGAAGCCATTCAAGCACATATCAAAGATGCTTTAGCGAAGGGCGCTAAGAATGCTACACCAGAGAATCCTACGTTCGAGAACCCGCCTGCAGACGGCAACTTTGTCGCTCCAACGTTACTGACAGGTGTCACACATGATATGGACGTTATGACCGAGGAAACCTTCGGTCCTGTGATTCCAGTCATGAGAGTCAAGGACGACGCAGAAGCGATCAAACTCATGAACGATAGTGAATTCGGGCTCACAGCAAGTATTTGGACAAAGGATGTTAACAAGGGTCACGAGCTTGTTGACGAAGTTGAAGCTGGTACGGTCTTCGTCAATCGATGTGACTACCCCGCGCCTGTAAGTGATAGTCCAAAATTCTCCTTTGCAACGTTACTGATCCAAAGCAGGACCTGGCCTGGGTAGGCTGGAAGAATTCAGGAAGAGGGCAGACCCTGAGCAAATTCGGATTTGACCAGTTCGTTAAGCTCAAGAGCTACCACGTTAAGGATTACCCAAAATGAGTGGTACTGCATGAGCCAAATGGATCCATAAGCTAAATTGAGCTTCTCGCAGAACTGTTTCTCCCTATGAACATTGGCAGTCTAGCACGCCTTCGGTAATGGCTCGCACCAAAGTTATCGAAATGTTTGGATCAAACTGCAGTCAATTAATGCAACAAGATTGAATTCCGATTCATGTGCTCTCACTGAAAAGACTAACATTGATGATAACTAATGGACTACCAGGGCTCTTTCGCAGATTTGCCCAACCTGAAAACGACATATGTTGTACAATTGTGACACGAAGTCACGAACGCGCCCGCGTGCTCACATGACTAACGTTGTGGTCATGGCACAAGGACTTAGTACTACCAATATTCATAAAGCCCTTTCGATTCGCTAAGATGAATACTTTCTCAACAGTGCAGCCTGAAGTAAGAGCAAGCCGGATGATCCTTCCCGCCCCCAAACACGCGGGCCTGTACCAGCAAGAATGCGACACCAATGCAAGGTTGGTGGTACTGACGCGACCGTTTCAAAAGCGTCTGTATCGGGTGATCCTGTCCAACACTACCATTGTCAAACTCCTTCAGGTCTGTGACCGCGAGCTGGTTTTCTTTTCTCTATTATTTCTTATGATGACTTGTTTAGGGTCTGTTGACATACATGTTGTTATCTATGCTATTTATGAAGTTGCTCGATCGGACATTGTTTCACATTCCGTGATTCATGGTCCGCGCTCACAGATTTGCTGGAATGTGAGACCGAATAATGACTTCAGTCCGCAAGGGAGAGCGCATCCTTTCCCGCGCGGGGGAAATCATTTCCAATCGAGTCGCATCGGAAACCAGTTCTCACCTCTCTCTTTTATAAGCCTCTGCAACTTTCATCCTCATCATTATCCTCTTCGGGCCATCAAACCCATGATTCATCGACCCCAACGACCTCCACTTATTGGTGCTATTTCGTTCATTTAGCGTTTTCTTCTATGCCAATACCCTGTCTTTTCCTCAAAAATCGTGTTTTCTTACTATTTATTACATATACCCTTTTGCTATTATCACGAAAACGTATATTCAATCAGGACCTTACCATCACTTGTGGATTCCATGACTTTCGAAGCCGTCATTATGAAGCTCCGACGAGCAGTACTTTGCTGTTCAAAGCGGGAAAGGAGTAGTCCGTCTGAGACGGTGAGATTAGAGGTTGTCAGTTTTCACACCCAATATTTGGACCATCCTCCGACTAGCAGCCTGGCCGTCTCCCCGATATATATGATCATTTCTGACAAGTTCGAACAGGGTTCTCCAACCGACGTCCGGCGTGTTGACGTCAGCGCCACCCTCCCTGGGCTCATGGATGCCCAACGTAGATACGTCCGCGAAAAGGCATCCAGTGACGCTGTCCATCTGCTCGGCCTACAATCCGAGCCGCCATCCCATCCAGCTACTTCACCGCCATCTCCAACACAATCAAATACGCGATCTATTGCCCTAGCTTCAAACCTTTCTTCACGTGAGCCATCTGTAGCACTCCTCAATGCTGCCTCCAAAGACCTCCCAAGTGTTTTGCCCACTCCACCAAAGCGAACACACAACGAGAATTCGCCACCCGCTTCCCGAATGAAGACCATGTGGAAAGATTCAAACAGACCAAGCAACAGCTCTACCTGTCATGAAGGTCTTTACGAGAAGCTTGAGCAGATCAAGGGTGCCGATGTGGAAGAGAAGGGTCTGACGGAATCATTTGTAACACTGAACTTAGACTTCGAATTTGCGGACGAGAAGTCCGTACATGCATCTTCGGTACATGCTTCTGAGTCGACAAGCACACTATCGCTTACGGGGGGGTTCGAGATGCAGGACACAAAGGGGGGCAGATGCCAACCTATTGCGAAGAATCTTGTTGTCAAAAATGCGATTGACGCTACGAACTTGGGGGACAGCAGCGATGAGAACGATTTCGAGGAAGACAGCTTGATCGCTGCTGAGCATGTTCAACTTGTCAAGATCTGAAGAATGAGCCGAAGTACGGATGGTGGGAGCAATATCATGTGCTTGTACGAATAGCAGAAAAGTTGGGTACAAATTGGCAATAATACATCCGGTAATACTATCATCAATAAAAGAGCTCTAAAATATCGTCACCCTTCATAATTAAAAAATGGCTGATCATATTATGCGTTCAACTGTCTGCTTGATAAGTCTGCTGCGTCTAAACAACAGCTGCAATTTTCCCCGATACATGATCGATTTCGAGCCCTCAAGTTGAAAATGCATGCATGCCTCATGCAAGATCATGATCCGTCGACCAATAATATCAGTTGACCAAATCTCTCGTCATTCATTACCGCGTATCACCACAATTTTGTCCGCGAGTCACCGCAATTGGGTTTTTTGCCAGCTTATCATTGCTTCCTTGTTGCCAGCGACAAGAGCCCGCCACCAATTATTAAATCAACAAGAATGCGTACCTGCATATAACGCAGCCCCTGAAACGCACGCTTCTCAATCGGGCCGCCGTCCAATTCTGTTCTTTCGCGGACGGTCATTTACCACGTGCGCGTTGCCCAATGGCACGGCCTGATGTATGGGAATGGGATTGCATTCTTGTGTCCCCAATAGGGTGGTGCATAGAGGGGAATTGGTGGGGGGTAAAAACTAGGGTACCTTGGGAGTTTCATGTCATGGGATGTTAATTTGAGGTAAGTCGTGCGCTTATTATGGTTATTAATAAAAGAGAGGATTTGTTGTAAGTAAAGATTGCTGTTTGTTACTATATTGTAGGTACTAAGCGACATAGGAACTTATCGAATGGCTAAGACTAGAGCCTTGTCCCTACATAAATATTTGAGAAAAGAGAGAAGTTTTATGCTTTCTAAAAAGAGAGATAGTTGTGGTAGGTTAACGCTCTCAGTGCTTGAAAACCAAGCATTTCTCTTAGTACAATCATGTGTCTTTCCCGAAATCCTCCTTCTATGTATTCATATCAAAGCACATTCTTTCTGTTCAAAATAATGTGTAAGGTCCTGACGTACCACTGCGCTATAGCTACCAACATACTATAGCTGATCGCCGAGTTCCGCGGAAGCACATCATCACAGCCTTTGAAATACCTCATACAGGCGGCCAGCTTTATTTTGAAACATGAGAATCCCCATACAGGCACAAAATATGGTATTGCAGCAGATGGCGGGTTTTCATTTCACGGCGTCCAGACACCCCAGATGGCTTCATCCATGACACACAGCGCATAACCCTAGCTAAAGAAGATAGCACTAACAATTAACTAGGCCTAACTACAATAGGTAATAAGATTTAAGCAGAGTTACTAAGGCTTCTTATAGAAAGAAAGCATAACCCTAGACACCTTTACCTAGATCTATAAAGACCTAGAACTAGTAAGGATAGTAGATAAGTGCTTTAAGATATATAAATAGCACTTAAGGGAGATAAAGTAGGTAGCTAATTTAGGGTAGTGCAGGACTATATACTACTCTATTATTTAATAGCTAGTGCAAGGGGATATAGGATACTAGCTCTAATACGCTATAATCTAAGAAACTATAAACCTAATCTTATACCTATACTATACTAAGTACGCCTAGGTAGGAGACTAGATATTCTTTTATTACGTGGACGTAAACCTTTCTAAGGTAGCATAGTTAGGATAAGGGCTTAAGATAATCTAAGGCTTAGTTTCTTTTAATAATAAGGATTAAGATAACTATACTAAGCTCCTAATTAGATTTAAAGAAGTATAGAAGAATTAGGTAAATTAGATAGATAGGGGGTTAAGAAGGAATAAGAGGGCCTATATCTAGGTATAGGAAGATAGGGTGCACTAGCCTAAAGAGCTAAGAGAAAAGTACCCTATAGTAAGATAGGAGAAGGAAATCTATTAAAAAGGATAGGTAAGAATTATAAGCCTAGTAATACTATATAGATCTACTAGACCTACTACTTAAACGTAGTATATAGTTCTACTATAGTATATAAAAGTATAGGATAATATAATAATAATAGAGGTGCTAGAGATAGGGATATATATAGAGATTGCACTAGCCTACCTATAGATAAGTATAGCCCTAAAGACTCTATTAGGGCACCTAGTTAAATATAGTAGAGTCTAATAGCAATTTCCTAGAGACGTCTAGGCTACCTATCCTACCTAGGTCTTAAAGGCAATTATATATTAGGTTTAATAGGATAACCTATTAGTAAAGGCAGAGATCTAGAAGTACCTAATAGGAGATTTAAATAGAGAAAGGATAGGAGTATAGATTAGGAAGAGTTAGGTTAAGATAGTAAAGGAGTTAAAGAAGAATTAGGCTATCTGCGTTAAGAATAAGAAGCTTGCATTTAGCAAGGATAAGGAGGCTAGGGTACTAGACTAATCCTATTTTAGTACAAAGGGGGTATAGCCTACTAAGGTAGGAGAGTAGTAGAGGTATAATAGATAGATTAAGTAGTTAGAGACTCTAGATATAGTTAAAAAGTATCTAGGAGCTATTAAAGAGGAACAAAAGGCAGAGGGATCTAGGCGCCTAGGGCTAGGCTATCTAAGAAGCCTAGTAAGGGCGTAGAGGAGAACTGTCTTGTTAAGTTTAGGTTTAAGATTAGAGACCCTAGATACTCCTACTCCCTTACCTAAAGCTTAACAAGCTAGGAACTAAGGTTGCTAACCTAGAGGAGGAGAGTAAGGGCTAAGCTTAATAGGGCTAAGCTTAAAGGAGGGGGAGGTTTATGCTATAGTATAGGATATATAGGAGAAAAACAAGGCTTAGCCTAAAAAGTTAGGCAGATTAAATAGTATAAAGGTATAAAGGATTAGAGGATAGGACTTAATAACTCCTGCAGACTTTACTTTAACTCTACAATATTATCTTTTTACTTATATTTCTGTATTAAACCTATATCCTCTGCTATAGGATCACTACTATTAAACCTTGCCCCTCCTACTTCTCCTCATTTAAATAGGTTACTCTCCCTGTCAGTTCACTAGTAGAGTTGTACTAGAATAGGAGGTGCGGGGTTGTAGGTTAGAGGATATTTCTCTAGCTAGATTAGTTAAGATTTATCTATATTAATTAGGATTTAGAACTATTTTAGCTAGTATTGTCTAATAATATAATCCTAAGAACCTAAGTCTACTATTATAAAGGGGTAGTTATAAACCTTTTAGCTACTAACTATTATATAAAGCTAAATGTAGTAGGCAACTAGTAAGGAAATCTAATCCTAGAACCCTTTAATAGTAAGCTTGTAGGGTAGCTTTTAGACAGGTACCCTAAGCGCAGAAGAGATATTATAAGCAATTTTTAAATTAAGAAATAAATAACCTTAGGCCCTAGTATCTACTAAAGCGTTTAGGTAAATACTAAATCTATTAAGGTATAGGGTTATACGTGCAAGCAAATAGGAACTAATAAATAATTTAGTTAAGGAAAGGTTTAACAGGTTATATTAAGTTAGGCCTAGGAAGGAGGATCCTCCTAGGCGTTGTTATTTCCTATCTAATAGCTATCTAAATTACTTAATTTAGAGGTTTCTTCTTTCTTAGAATTCTTAATAACCTGTTCTATATCTATAGCCTAAATCCTAGGGGGTTTAGGGCAGTTACTAGAGAAGTGCCTAGGCTTTCTATAATTGTAGCAAGTTCCTAGGGTTCCTTTTATAGTAGCGCTAGGAGTGGCTAGCGTAGTAGATAGGGGTTAATTATTTTAAGGGGTAGTACCTTGTTGTTACAAGTAGGGCATATAAGGTTTAGCTATTAAAGGTCTATTATAGGGTTTCTAATTAGCGTCTAAATAGGACTAGTTTCTAGAGTGTTACAAGGGGGTTAGTTCTTTTCTAGATAATAGAGTAGTCTAGGTAGGAGCAGATAAGGTAGGGTATAGGCGGCGTTCTATATTAAAAGTAGTAAGATAATCTACTATAGTCTTAAAATTATTGTGCTAATTTTATTAGAAAGTAAGGTTTAGTATCCTTAGGGAAGGTGTAATCTTTATCTAGTAGTAGTAATACTACTCTAATTAGGGTACTTCTCCTCTAATAGCAAGACTCTAGAACTATAACTTAAAAGTAGGGAACGTCTCTATATTAGTTATGTACAGGTAGTTAAATATAGGCTAACTCTTAGCTATCTTATTTCTAGTAATAAAGTAAGTTTAAAGGAGAGTAATTATTTCCTTAGCTTTTTAGAACTAAAGACTTAGGGAATTAGATAGGTAACGTGGCTCTAAGTATTCTCTTGCTAGTCCTAAGTAGTGTCCCTAGACTAACGCTATCTATACTATAGAAGAGGGGTAGTAATTAGTGTTAATCTGTAGCTAATCCTAAATAGACGCTTACTATTATCTAAAAGTAGGATTAGCACTATTACTAAGTATAGAGATATTTAGTATCTTTTTAGATTATCTATTAGCTTTTATAGCATATACTATAGGGTTTAATATAGAAACTAAAGACTAGCCTAGTTAAGTAGTACCCTATATCTCTTTATAGAGGGAGGTGTTATATAACTAATTAGTAGGTTATTTAACTTGTTCCTCTAACCTCTCCTTTTTAGATAGGGTTAACACGTATTTATCTTTAAGGGAGGTGTTGCTTTAAGATTTCCTAGGAGCATAAGGTACCTTAAGAGATAGATAGGAAGCAGGTCCTTCTAGGAGGGCGTTATTAATTAAGTCTTCCTTACCTAATTTCTTTCTATTAGTAAATAGGCTTTTAAAAGTAGCTAAACTAGATACCCTTCCTTTACCTTTGTGTAACATTTTGTAGTTAATAAGAATAATAAATCTTTTCTTTTTAGGGGGGTTTAGTTATAGGAGGATATTAGCTTTGCCTCTAATTCCTCTAGGCTTTTAGTAGTCTCTAGGTCTCTACGTTAACGTAATCTAACGCGATTTTTCTAAAGGTAATCTAGCACTACTTATAGGTCTAGAAGTCTAAGCCTATAGGCTTTAGTTATTAGAAGTTCTAATAGCTATTCTAACTGTAGAGTTGCAGGGTTA